TTGTGCTGAACTCATTTCCTGACAGGCTTGAAACACTCAACTGTGTGTTTTGAAAAGGATATTGAGGTTTCCAGCAGATAGTTTCAAGGATAAAATGATATTGTCTTCTTGACAGCAACACGGAAGTGGTTTGCTATTGCCTTCTTCTTATTTTTTTTTTTACTTCCCACTTTAGTCTTTAGCCCAGACATTTCCTGGTGGTGTTTGTGTATGAATGTGTGTGCATATACATACACACTCATATACACATCATCCCATTCTTGAGAGTCTTATTATACAGTATTATTTAATCCAATTTTGGAACCGCCCATCTTCCTCTCAGAGGAACTGTGGGTGGTGTACGAATAAAATATTAAAACATAAAAAACAGTATATAAAATTTAAAGAATGGAATGGAATGGGATAGAATAACTTTATTGTCATTTTAATCAGCATACATTAAAATGAAATTTCATTGCATTCAGCTTTCAGATGATAACCACCTCCAATACACACTACTTAAACAGGCAAGGGAGGCAAGGGTGATTGAAATCCAATGTTAAAAATCAATTAAAAGGCAGAGGGGAGGCTTTCGGGGCGCTAACCAGCCCGACAACTGTGTGCTCCTCTATGCATCCCAGGCAAGGCCATAGAGCCATGTTTTCACACCTTTGTTTACATTTCAATAGATTTTATACTTCTAAAGCTTCCTATTAGTGAGAAGTCCTCTGGGACTGGTTTTCTTTATTTTTTCTGTTTTGTTCCTTCCACCAACTTTCTCTCCATCCAACCTCCGGGCAAGAACTGAGCAAACAGATGAGAGAATCTGCCTATAAAAATTCATGGGGGTTTGGGGAATAGTTCATGAGGCATTCAGAAGAGAGGGATGGTGATGGTAAAGAGTCTGATTGATATGGCCATACTCAATACCCAACTATCCACATTATGGCTTAGCACAGGGCTTTTCAACCTTTTCACCCATTGTACCACTTTTAGGATATGGCAACATCTGAGTACCACCAATCGCCTAGCAAGGTGTCAAAAACTTGATGACCCAAAAAAAAAAAAAAAGGAAAAAAGTGATAAAGTACAGGTAGTCCTCGACTTATAACAGTTCGCTTAGTGACTGTTCAAAGTTACAATGGCACTGAAAAAAGTGCCCCCCAAACCACAGCCGAGCAAGACACCTGCCTGCCCACCCGGTGGTGCTCTTCCTCCTGTCTGAGGTTTTCATTGTTGTGAGCATTTCTGTTGACGATTGGCAGCAGAGGTGGGTTGGGGGGGTGTTTGGTTTTTATTCCCCCCACCTGCTGGGTGGTTGCAGCAGATTTTGGTCACTTCACATGACCCTGGGACACTGTGACCATCATAAATATGAATCAGTTGTCAAGCATCTGAATGTAAATCACAAGACCCTGGAGATGCTGCAACATTCCAGCTGATCGGTGCTTCTTCTGGGCTCAGCAGAAGCGCCAGGATCAGCACCGAGCTCCAGCTAGAGCCTGGCGCTGATCCTGGCCCTTCCACTGAGTCCTGACAGCCCTGCAGCTCCAGCCATCTCTCGCTCAGGCTTGTGCGGTGCTGCCACCGGTTCAGCTCATTCCCCTCTCCCGCTACCACTTTTCTAGGATGGTCACGTACCACCTGCCAGGTGCCAATGTACCACAGGTGGTACCCGTACCACTGGTTGAAAAGCGCTGGTAGCACAATGGGTAAACCATTCACACTCTATTCAGAAAAAGGCTCTAATCTCTGCACCTTCCTGCTCCTGATCCGCTCCAGCAAGCCTCCAGATAGCTAGACAAGAAATTGTGCCTCAGACACAATCTATAATTTGGGTTCATTTTTTCCAAATCTGAATACTGCCATGAATTTGTCCTGAATACTATCCTTAGCACAATGGCTGTGCCAAGAGTACTACCCTTAGCACATCCATTTGCCCCCCCCCTCCAAAAAAAGAGACTTCAGAAGTTGCTCCATCACTGGAGGTTTTAAAGAGGAGATTAGGCAGTATTTGTCTGAAATAGTATAGGGTCTCCTGCTTGGGGTTGGATTAGAAGACCACCAAGGTCTCTTCCATCTCTATAAGTTCTATAAGACCAGTCAAGGCAGTGAACCGACTCCAGAAAAGTCCTCCATGTGCTGTGGAGACCTGTGACTGCGTTCCAAGGTGGCAAAAGTACAGCTGACAGGGTGTACTAAGGATTTTGAGATGACTCAGGCAGAGCCTTTGCCTGATTGTACCGAAAGACCCTGAGGCAATAAGAGTTATTTCATCCAGAACAGGACTGCAAATGCTACAGCCTTCATTTCCCCAATGACAAGATGCCTGAGAAAAGATTAGCAGACTCCCGTTTCACCAAAATAAAAAAAAACTTCTCTGTACTCAAGGACACCCTGTCAATATCTCTACTTGGTGTTAAGTACCTTCTGTTGTCTCCTTTAAGACAGGATGTCTCCCTTTCCTCCATTACACACTCCTGCTAATTGTGCATTTTGCCTTGGTTTATTTTTATCACCTATCTCCTCTGCTTCCTGCATTTTCAGCTAGTTTTCCACAGTTTTTGCAAATGGTTACAGGAGAGTGAATTGTTCTCAGTTCTTTTCTACAAACATAGACTTATTCAAAGGAGTTTGTTTGTTGGGGGCAGGGAGCTGTGGGGGCGTTTTTTGAAGGTTTATTTTTAATTTTCATCCTGTACCTCCATGCCTGTCATTTTTTTCTCTGAATACTTGAATAGTTTGTTGTGAAATCCTTTGCAGCTGCAGAGGTCAGAGCACCTGACATATATAGTTTAGAGGCGAGAAGACAAAATTTCATTATCCTCAAGTAGCAGAAAGCCACCACAAAGGAGAGGACAGAGTATTTAATCTTAGCTATCCCACACAACAGGATTGGATTGAACAGTAGGAAAAATGTATTGATAAAAGGTGATGGGTTCTCCCTGATTATTTCCTCAATCAGTGTCCATCTGATTGTGTAATCCACTCACACTCTGAATTTTGTGAACTGAATAGCTGTATTTTAAAGCCTGGACCTGACCAATCTCATTATTAAGTTATGATGCCAATATTTAAATTTTTCCTTGTATTGGGTTAACAAGGAACTATGGAAATATTTGAAAAATTAGGAGGTAAAATTTATTTTAAAATAGTTTTTTACACTCGGCATTTAGCAGACTATATTTTTAAATGTATACTTTTTAGACTAACAAATGGCTAATGGCTTGCAAGACTATGTTGATATATTGTTTGGTTACTTATGTGAGTTAATAAATGAGCTGTGTTTATGAAAGAAATGGCATACAAGAAAGTTACCTTATTTATGAGGAAAGGAAGGAAGGAAAGAAAAGAAAGAAAGGAAAAGGAAGGAAGGAGAAGAAAGAAAGAAAGAAAGAAAGAAAGAAAGAAAGAAAGAAAGAAAGAAAGAAAGAAAGAAAGAAAGAAAGAAAGAAAACCACGAAATTACCACTTACCATATATATGTCTTTGTTTTGCTTTTCCCACTCAACTTGCCCTGCTGGTTTTATTAGCTCAGATCCAATTGCTTTGGCCCACAAATGCAAGGATAGATATATGCTGCTTTGAAGAGTTGCTAGAAGCAATAAGAGAAAAAAGGAAGGCCCTGCCAGTTTCAGCCCTAAGGGACTGCAGGCTTAATGACAGGTTGTTCTTATGGAAGCTGTTGGGAGCTGCCGGACCCCCACTGCTTCAGCAATCTTGAGAACAAGCACATCTTGCAATGGAGAAGCTAGAGGGAGTTGGGAATTTTTACTCTCAAATGCCCACGTGAGAGTAGCGCCCCGCTTTCAAATATCTTATGTCACAGAGATTATGACCATTAGTGGGCTAACCCTGGTCTGTTATAGCTAAAGTGAACAAAACATGAAGGTAGGTAAAAGAACAACTTCTCTGCCTGCTGGGTGGAGCTGTTTTTAAAAACTTTGTCAGAGTTCATTGCAATTACGCAATGGCGTTTGTGGCAAATACTAATAAGGTTTCGCTGTTAACAGTAAACAACTCTGGATATGCAGCATAGACATCAGGGCCCAGAACATCTCAGAGGTGGCAAAAAGGAGAAAGGGTAGCTGAACATGTAGACTTCTTGCTTTTCAATTGCCTGTTTTTTGAAAAGTTACTTTCATATACTGTAAATAGTAGAGATACAAGGACATCATGTTTAACTGTGTATGCGTTTATTTGTGTTGGCTAAATATGGCATACAGATACTAAAGAGCCATTTGCCAATTGGGATGACTGCAGCTCAGACCTGGTTCTGTGTTTTGGTACCTAAAGCGTTGCCTAATCAACCTGAGGCACTATATCAATAATAATAGCTAGGAAGCAGCTGCACTAATCCTGGTCTTCTGTGTCTAAATATTTGGCTAGCTTAATATGCTCCATTGTTTGACCACCACCTTTCCCTGACTGGGTGTTAACAACACTGTCCCATATGCAGAAAAACAGCCAAATTTGAAATTGCATGAGTTTTCTGGTGCCTTCTTCAGGGGCCATGCTGGCTGGAGTTGATAGAAACTATCATCGTAAAACATCAGATTATGAAAGGGTGATCCAGAGTTTCATAACGCCTCTACAGCCTACTTAGATCATAGGCACAATGGCATCCGCTCTCAGTTATTGGTTCAGCACATCAATATAGATGGGGGTGTGGAGCATAGATACTGGAGGACCTGGAAAAACTGGCTCATGTTTTCTTTAAGATGGAATATATACCGTACTTTTCCTGCAATCGTTTGTTAAGATGTAGGTGGCCAGACAAAGGCAATACATCAATGCAGGTTAAAATTATTAGTGTATAGAGTTGGGCGTGCTTTAGTAATAAATCTTCTACACAGCATTTGCTCAGTATTTTCAAATATTCCCACTCCAGCATTTGGGATAATATTTGTGTAGCTTCCCAACTTTCAAAGAGTCCTCTCTGCGGAATAAAACAAGGTTGATGCTAGTGAAGCTGAATGGTATACATCAATTACTTAGTCATTTTTTCTTTCTCTTTATAGTTCAAGTCTTGGTTGATGGTGCACCCGTTCGTATCCAGTTGTGGGACACTGCAGGACAGGTGGGGCCTATAAAAGTAAAGAATATTTGCAGCTGTGGTTCAAATGCCATGCTAAGGATGATATCAGAAAAAAAAATAATGAAAATAATTCAGTAAAAAAAATTACTGACATTCAGTAACAATCTACAGCATAGTTCTGGCATACTTTACATTAAAATAATATTTCTGTATTGGAGAGGAGACACACAGTGTTTTCTTCTGGTGGGTTCTTGTGTGAAATAACCTTTGAACTGAACATCTTGTAGTTGTATAATATGCTAAATATGTTATGGATGCAGTCTTGCATTCCTGAAAAAAAAACTGGGTTATAAATCTAACAAACAAACAATAAGGTTTTCTTGTTTGTGTGACTTATGGCTTGCTAACTGAAATATATTGGGGGGTTTTTTGCAGCAAGAATTCCTTTTGTGAAATATTATGTCTGGAGGCCCATGACTTTTTAAGAGAAATATGAACTCTGAAATTTAATTGGGACATGAGTTTTAGATTTGATTGTTTGTATGACTGAGAAGCCATTTTAATGGGCATTAAAAGTCTGTCTCTTCTTCAGTGGTCTAGTTAGTGGATTAACCTATTTTTGAAAACATCATTTGTTAATTAAGACACAGTCGCTGCATTTACACATAACACTAGCCATCGATTGGGAGACCTCGATATTTTGGGAGCAATGGGCACATCTGGGATTTTGAGAGTATGTTCTGAATATGCTCAGAGAATGGCTGCCAGACGGGATATGTCTGATTCACAAACATCCATTTTACAGAAGGCAAAATGGTGAAGTTATTCTCCACTCATCACCTGCCATATTCCTCCAGGATGTTTCCTAACACCTCAGCTTTTTCCTGTTTTTTGCTGGGCACATTATAGATAAAGCACTTGGCTGTAGCTACCTACCGGCTTTATTTTTTAAGAATGCCTCTGGAGTTTATGAGCAGCCCAGGCTAGAAAAAAATTTGGGAATAAAAAAAAATGCATTCTTGGAAACTATATATGAGGCTGAAGATCATTGGCTTCCCATATATTAATTTCAATGATCAAGGTTTCAAAAAATAAAATCTGAAGACCAAAACAAGCTTCCACAGGGACATTGATGTCCTATCCCAGTTAGGAACTCTGGCCATAAGCTATAATGGTAGGGTTTACCCAACATGCTAAAGCCAAAATATGTTTTGTTTGGTTTTAAGCTTAGTGTGATATGTGAACTGAACAATTAATTTTATATTTAGTGGCTATTAGCTGGCTTAGTTTTCCTCTTAAAAGCACTTGGGAAAGCTCAAATGATTTCTAACCTTTGTATGATTTTGTGGTTGAAAGTTGGAAAAGTTCAGCTTTGGAGCTTCATGGCAAAGTCAAGATTCAGTGCCTACTCAGTGCAATTAGTACAGTAAATGTTTGACGCAAATTGATCTCCCTGTTTCTTTTCCCTGTATAGGAAGACTTTGATTGCCTCCGCTCTCTCTGTTACTCTGACACAGATGTCTTCCTGGTCTGCTTCAGTGTTGTAAATCCCACCTCCTTCCAAAACATTACGGAAAAATGGATTCCAGAAATAAGAACTCACAATCCCCAAACACCAGTGGTGCTAGTAGGGACACAAGCTGACCTGAGAGATGATGTTAAAGTCCTAATCAGCCTGAACCGCTACCATGTAAAACCTGTGCCGAGAACGCAAGCAGAAGGGCTGGCTGAAAAAATCCGGGCTCAGACTTACGTAGAGTGCTCTGCTTTGACTCAAAAGAATCTGAAGGAGGTTTTTGACACAGCCATTGTTAGTGCAGTTGAATACAAAGCCCACCAGGAAAAGAAGATGACAGCCAAAGGAATCAAAACTCTCTCTAAATGCCGATGGAAGAAATTCTTCTGCTTTGTCTGAAACTGACTCCAATAAGAGACATTTGTAAGCCAAAGTAGCCTGGAGCATAATCTCTTGTTGGATTATGGTGAAACTTGCCTGGGAGACAAGGAATAGAAGTGTAGCATCAAATGGTCCACGCTACCTTCAAACATCTACGATGGGATGGTCTGATGCTGATGTACTGAGTCCAGCAGCCAAGTTAATTTATATATATATATATATTCCAGGCAAGATGACCAGTTTTTACAGCTTTTGAAGGCTTGACGGCATATTAATTGAAGAAATTAATTAAATCTGGGAGTAGCAATCCCAACTTGCTTACAGGGCACGAGAGCAGGGAAGGTTGAATGAAACTTGATTTAACGCTTCAGTTAAATAAATTTGAGAGTTATATCTCATTTTCAAGTTATAATAATGAATAGAGGGGTTTCTTGATGCAGAACTAAAACTTCCACTTCAGCCCTCTTAAAAGTAAAAGAAAAGAAAAGAAGGCCTCAAGATATAACTGAGGATTAATCCACGTTTGGGGTGAAGAGTGGCTATGTCACACCTTTAAAACAACACAATATTTCTCGATGAAATTATGTGGGGAAAATGCCTATGTGAAAAGCATACCACAAACTGAAATATTGTAGAGAATATGTAGTTAGATAGGTGTGGATGTTTGAGTGTGAAATAATTTCTGAACAGGAAATATAGTCTGGGCATCCACTGAAAAAGATGGATGCGTGATTTGCTCTGATGTAAACTTTCTGTGTGAACAAACTTTCTGATCCTCTTTTAAACTCATCCTTAAAAGTATTTTAGCCTAATCAAAGTTTAACCTGTTCAAACTAAGTTCAAGATTAGAAGTCCAGCAGCTCTTGAGTATGCATTTTTTTTCATCCCTAAATTATGTCCTCTTCACATATTCTTGGACTCTCCATGCTAGGCAAACTGATACTATATTGCCTATTTGAATAAGATGCCATCCAGTACCATGCCAATAATGCTGTTTAGCTGGAAGGAAATGAGCAATTCTTGTTATATCAGGGATTGGGCCCTAAATCATATTCCTTTGTATTTCACTGCTAATACCGAAGGCTTTAATGTTCCCTCCCTGAAACCTGTAGCAGAATAATCAGGTTTGCCAAGTTAGCAATTAATATTTATGTTGTGTAACTATTACAGCAAGATGAAGTTTACATCTGAGATGGAAAGATAACCACACATTAAAAAGACTGAATTAAAAGCATGCCAACCAAATCTCAAAGGGAACATATGACACAGTATTTTCCAAAAAAATTAAGCAGCGTCCCCAACCTGATGTTCTCTGCTGTAGGTACATTGGGATACAATGCTCGTAAATCTATAGTCCAACTATGATGAATGTGTATAATGGGGGAATAATCCAGCACATCTGAAGAGCATTAATTGAGAAGAACTGTTCTCCAGGCATTGATAATGTTGACTCCAAAGTGTTAGAGCAATGGTGGCGAACCTATGGCACGGGTGCCAGAGGCAGTACTCAGAGCCCTCTCTGTGGGCACACGCGCCATCACCCCAGTCCTAGGCCTTCAGCTGGGTTTTATAAAACTTTTTTGCTTTAGGCCTCCACCGCTGTGTGCAAAAAAGAAAAGTTCAATCAGTCGATTTCAACTTCTCGCGGGAAAAAAAGTTGGAATTGATTGATTGAACTTTTTAGTCCCACCCAGTCTGCCGTTATCACCGCAGCCATGCCCACCCAATGGGCCACACACCCCCAATTGGCCACACCCAGCCAATGGGCCACATCCAGCCAATGGGCCACACCCACCCGGCATCCAACGATGCATAAGTGGGCTTTGGGTTGCAGTTTGGGCACTCGGTCTCTAAAAGGTTCGCCATCACTGTGCTAGAGAGTTGACCAATTCATGTTCTATTTTTGGCACATGTGCAGAGCAATCACTGAAGAGGAGAAGGGTGTCCACTTCAATGGTCAATAAAGGAAAGAGGAGATTGCCACCTTTGACGGCACTCAGGTGTGGTAATGTTGCCATTTAAAATGATACAACACAAATTCTACCTTGAGTCAGATAAAAACTGAAAATAGAGGAGGAAAACATAAAATATGGGAGGATAGCAGAAAATGAAAAAGGGAAGAGGCATGTGATAGAAGAGGGAGAAGTAAGTGATAGGAGGAAGAGAGAGAGAGGGAGGGAGGGAGAAAGAGGGAGAAAGAGAAGGTACAAGGTAGGCAAAGAGAGGAAAGGAAAGCTATACAGGTTAATCCATCATGGATATTGGAGTTGAAACAAGCTTGTTGATCCTACACGTTCTGTACAAATTATTTCCATAATTTGGAATGACAGCTGAAGTCGTTTATACATTGGATCCTTTCCTAGGTATCCTATAAATGCATATAGATAGTTGAATCAAATATCAGTCATGTTGCGAATCACATCCAAACCAGATATGAATGCTCAAATGTGATCATCATCTCTACATCCTTTTTTGCCACAGGTATGTACACTGGGAAACTGAGCCATGACTACTCACCTTTGGGGTCTGCACAGAAATGTATCAATGTCCTGGAAATGTGTCATTGTGGAAACAGCCATTGACGTTGCTCATTCCATGTGGCATACTTCAGTTTTGCTGTATAAAAATAAAATGTTTACAAGTGGGTCTTTATGCATTTCCAATGGGCATCACAAAAGAGTCCTGGAACAGCCTTAGCTGAGGATCAGACCTCAAAAGTAATGTCAATATAGCAGGAATTCATAGGTACCATCTTATTCCCCCCCTTTTATTCAAAATTAATTAGGGATATTTGGTTGTTGATTCATATTGATGGTACCCAAAAATATTCTTTTACAGGAAAGAAAGAATGCTTAATCCATGCTGTTATTGCCCTACAGATTGCATATCATTCTTTTTTCTGTATCAAATAAAGATATTCTATTTGAACATAAATATTGTTTGCATTGGATTATTTTCTCTGCTGTGCTATATAATGCAAATAAATAAATAAAATCCCAATGAAGACAACTTCAAGTCACAGACTATTGCATTCAGCCATTCATTTAGATAATGGGTGTTACAGATTGCATATTTAAAAATCACTTTTGATCACCATGAAACTCATTTTTTTAAAAAAAAGTCATTACAACATGACACATGAATTCTCATTAAAGTTCTAAATATTACATAAGCTAAATTAAATAATACATCATTTCTGTTTAAGCATACACACAAATTGGTGGTGATATTAGTATACAGATGTTGCTTAGTAATCAGTATGTTCAAAAATCAACACAAAATCATGTGTTCAGCAAAGAGCATTTAGGATCTCTAAAACAGGTCGTCCATTTGACAGGTTCTCAGGATAAGCACTTCCTGAAACCTATGATGTTCATAGCTTATAAACCTACCATGGAATAGCACATGCACAGTTATAATGAACTAAAATCAAAATCTGAAAGCAGAAACTTTGAAAATAAGGTCACACACTCAAGCACAGAATTAGATGTGCTAACTAAAGAGAGAAGCAACCTAGAACTAAGGAGAAACTTCCTGACAGTTAGAACAATTAACCAGTAGAACAAACTGCCTCCAGAAGCGGTGAATGTTCCAACACTGGAAGTTTTTAAGAAGAAACTGGACAGTCATTTGTCCGAAATGGTATAGGGTTTCCTGTCTGAGCAGGGGGTTGGACTAGATGACCTCCAAGGTCCCTTCCAACTTTATCATTATTATTATTATTACTATTATTATTATTACTATTATTATTATTATTATTATTATTATTATTATTATTATTATTATTATTATTATTATTATTATTATTATTATTATTATTATTATTATAGATGTGTTAATGTCAATAGAATTTCTCTATAGAGGTTATGTGGCTGATTGGAATGTAGACATTATGATTCTGGCCTTGAACCATTGCTCCAATCACTTGTAAGTATTGCAGCTATCTGAAAACAAAAACAAATGGTCAGTCCCTAGCTTTTGGCAAGCATCTACATGTTTCAGCATCCAGGAATCCTTTAGTAATCATGGAAAAACAAAGTCTGTCTACCAACGTGTGATGAAATCTGGATATTGTAAGCGTCTCACCATTGCGTGAAGTGAAAGTCAGTATGTGCAGGTTTCTTAAGTAACAAAACAGCACCTGAATAATTACGTGATTTGGGTTATAAAAATATGACAACAAACAAAAATAATAATGCATCTCACAAGCTTTTATGAGGGGGCAGAAAAGGAGCAGGCTACTCACAGATATTATTTATACTTTTTCTCCTCACAAGGCAGTAATTAGAAAATATCTGATCATCAAAACGGCTGATTGAAATAAATTTTAGGAAGTGCTGCATAAAATCTGAAGTATTCGCTGCTCTGTGCCATCTTGAATTATTTCTAACTTAGTACTTTTCAAATGTATTGGCACTACAACAGCCAAATTAGCCATACCCAATTTGACTGACAATTCCAAGAATTGCAGTCCCGTTTATCTAAAAGGTACCAACTAATCTAGAGCCCAATCCAGATTAGTAAGAAATAAATCATAAATCTACATGGTAGAACTTCATCCATCTGATGACCTTCGGTTGCATTATATCTTAAAACTTTTACAGTCAAAATAAACGCAAGGTTTGTTTGCAAATCTAAAATTTTTCTAGACCTTGATTTTGGATAGCTTCTGTCCACATGTTTGCATAACAACACAAATACAACATATGTCTCTCCTACAGGAGAAGAAAACTTATGTGTTTTTGGATTTTGTTGAATAATAACTCTCAGAAGCCACCATCTGCCTGGCCAATAGTGCAGTAGCACACAAATGATCACACTTTTTATGCTTCTTCTTTACAACGAGTGTGGATCCATATTTGTGCAGCTGGAGGCAGCTTTTTAATGTTTTTCTTGTCACTTCTATTGAAAAAGTGGCCAAGTGCGCCAGGAGATCACAGAATGGGAAAAGCCAAATATTTACCCCCTTGGATTGTAAGGCTGTTAAAAAGCAAATGCTGTGTTAAGGCAGATTGGCCTTTTAAAATGGGAAGGGAGGATATAGGAGGGAGGCTACATTGTTTTGAGATTTTAAATGGAAGGTGTTTCTGAAAAATCTCCAAACTCTCACAAAAATATGTTTGGTTCGACTTTACTAATGCCACGGGAGCCCCAAACCATTAGCTCTGGTTTATCCAGCTCTGCTCTATATAGGATGCTCCAGGGGCTCTAAATCCTGCAAATACTCAGAATGCGGATGTTGTGCTTGCTGTTTCTTCTCAGCACCAGTGATAACCAATCTGTGAAGGACACCTGTTTCATTCAAAGCCAGAAAAGAATTGTATTATTCAACATTTCAAGAGTTAGCATGATTAAGCAATATTATCTGGACCTGCACCAAAGCAATTTGGAGGCACTTAGTCAGTAGTTATAAAGAACACCTGTTTACAAAAGATCAATCTTGCTGGAAAGTGTAATTATACAGTCCGGTACCAGGCCGC